CCCACACCGGTCCCCCACACCCCCGGTACCCCCACACCGGTCCCCCGGACCCCCGGTACCAGCGAGTCCTCCGCCAAGGAAGAAATCCTAGCGGAGATTCGCAAACAATCCCAAGACATGAAGGCCTATATCGGCAGACTCATTAAAATTACCGCATTCACAAACTCGGAGTTTGGGAAAAAACTAGAAAAACTGAAGGAGTCACTTAACGAGGCAACGGACAGAGTGAATAAACTCGGCGATACGGGCAAGGAACACGTAGCGACAGTCACAAAAATGAGGGAGGACTTTGGGACGGGGGGTCGGGTCATGGAATTGTTGCGGGCAGACAGTAGGGCGGTTATCGACCAGATAGTAACCGAAGGTCAGATTACACGGGAGGTGGTAAGGGGGGAAAGAGAAACACAGGGAACGTACACGTGTGACTTTTACGTCACAGAATTTAGTCACTGGGTGGGGGCGGGGGTAAGACATTACAGCCGGCTCTGGTACATAGACCAGAGCAAAACTTACCTAAAGGGTAGGGTGGGGTTTGGAAAAGACAAAACAATGGATGTGTGGCTGGTTCACGGTCGGTACCCGCACGTTGTGGGTCTGGCCGGTCAGACTGGGGGACGTCGTGTCAGAGTGAGTGTGGCGGTGGTGAGACAGACAGGGACAGGGGACAACTGGGAGCTGGGGAGTAAGGTGGTGAATTTTGACGAGACGGCCATCTCTGTACGGTGTGATGGCTGGGAGTGTGCCGGGGGATATCGTGTAGCCTCCGCCGTGTCTTGTGATGAGATGTACACACGGGGGTTGGTGGATGGGGGGAACAAAGTTCTTTTCCGATACACCATCACTGTACTGTAAGTGATAGAGGCGGGGGTCGGGGAGTGTCGACAGACGGACACACAGACAGACACACTGACAGACAGACTGACAGACACACAGATAGACAGACAGACAGACAGACAGACAGACACACAGATAGACAGACAGACAGACAGACTGACAGACACATAGACAGACACACAGACAGACACACAGACAGACATACAGACAGACACACAGAAAGACACACAGAAAGACACAAAGAAAGACACACAGAAAGACACACAGACAAACAGACATACACACAGATAGACACACGGGCGGACACAGAGACAGACACACAGATAGACACATAGGCAGACACGCAGACAGACACACAGATAGACACACAGACAAACACACAGACAGACAAACGGATTGACACAGACAGACAGACAGACAGACAGACAGACAGACAGACAGACAGACGGGCACACAAATAGATAGACACACTGACTGACACACACAGGCACTCAAGCGGGATGATAGGTATATAGATCGATATAAGGATAGATAGGTAGATAGATAGAAAGATAGAAAGATAGAAAGATAGATAGATAGATAGATAGATAGATAGATAGATAGATAGATAGAAAGATA